AAGAAAAGAAATGAAAAGAAAATAAAACAAAAGAAAAAAATACACATATGCTGAATTAAAAAATAAATCAGATTTTATAATCTTTTGATTTAATTAGCTACAATTATTTTAAATCAGTTTAATATTCAAATCATATAGGTGTTGCAAATTAGAAACGTGCTCGCAGGGACTAGGGTTGTTGTAGTTAGGGGGTATTTTGTTGTTCACTGCCCTTTTTATGTAGAAATGCAATTAATCTAAAAAAAATAATTAGTACTGACAGGAGTAAATATATATAGCGGTAAGAGGGTTTATTGACAATAATGATTCTATACTGTTTTGGAAACTCTCTCTCTCTCTCTCTTTTAATAAATGGACTGTTTCTGCAGTCCCTCCTCGCTAGACACACACACATACACTTCTTATTTGCTAACCAATTTGCTCACGCCAACCATGCATATCAAGAGCTTTTAATTAACCTATGGTCAATTTTTGGTCAAATTATTACTAGTTATATATATTATGACTGATTTATAAAAGGCATGTCAATCAAACTTAAATTAATGTTTAATAAAATGTATCAAATAAAGTTGTCAGAAATAGAGTGAGAGTTAGATATAAAAAAAAAAAAAAGTTTTATACTTGTATTTAGTTGTTACTGAAAAAAGGTAACGTTGGCCTCATTGTCATAGCTGTAAATATTTTGTAAAGTGAGTTTTCCAATGGTTATATATTCAAATCAATTTTATGATGTTTTGAGTTTAACAAAACCCAACAAATTAATTATATTTTGTTTTATTACATATTGATTTTTTACATTTTGCGTTGTCTTCAAAGCACACATTAATTAACGCAAAATCGAACAACGAAGTAATACTTTATTACATTTTTGAATTAATCTCGATGCAAAATGTAATAATGCAAAATGTAATAATAAAAAAAATTCTAACATTTTGCATTATTACATTTTGCGTCGAGATCAACGCAACATGTAATAATCCCAATTTAGTTACATTTTGCGTTGTTATTGCATTTCGAAATAAATTGTAACACAGGCTTTCTATATGGTTGCATGATGTTGAGACGTTTTACTATCCATTTGAATGGCCTGATTATTATTTGAGAGAACAATGACAAGTTTTTACTTTTATATTTCATATAAATAAATGACAACAGCTATAAAAGTATACAGAATTGTAACTATAAAGGCACAGGTTTTTTTTTAATTACTGTGGATATGAATAACTTTAAGTAAAACTTAGTTGTCGAAATCACTCAATTTGACGTTAGAAAAATAAAAAGGCATGTCTGCTTAGTAAGAAAAAGACTGTACATGTTCATGGAAAATTCCAAGATTCATCATGATCAGCCATACATCTTTTAGAGTTCCAGTACAAACAAAAATACCACTTGTATCATTGTAAATATTTTTAGATTTTTTGCACTTGTCACGAGGTGGAAGATGTACATAAGTTATCTGAATTCCATAAGCATCGTCCCTTGGTGTCTTTTGCCAATAGTCCGAAAATGTGTACAGATTTAGATATCAATTGAGTTTACAAAAAAGAAGAAAGAAAATTGTAGCACTGTGACAACACCTTAAACATATATGTGTGTGTGTGTATGTATATATATACATTTTTTTTCTCTTTCACTTAATATTGTATCCTTATACGAACATATTTTTGACCTGGTTATGATATAAAATGATAAGTTACTGAAGGGATCTATTTACATATTTTTCTAAAAGTTCTAAGATTTTTGAGACACTATAATAGAAGTTTTTTTTAAATTTTGATACAAGAAAATGATACATATAAGCCAATCTTTACAGATGTCTTCTGGAATGTTGGTGGTTTAATATCAAAACATTCTGTCAAAACGAATGACCCAAGCTTTATTAAGGAAATATCCAAATATGATTTTGTTTTCTTAGCAGAAACACACCTTGATCCCAATTACAAGATTACCAATCTGAGCTCATTTTACTGTTATTTTAGTCATAGAAAAATTACAAAACAAAATAATAGGTACTTTGGAGGATTGGGAATTCTTGTTTAGCAACATCTACGACCCTACGTAAAGATTTTGCAAAATACAAGCCCTGCCTTTCAATTGATAAAACTGAAGAAAACTTATTTTGGTTTTGATCAGGATTTATTTATATGTGTTGTGTACAATCCATCCAGTGGATCAACTTATACCCAAGGACTTGAAATTGACTTTCTGAACAACATTAACAAAGATATTGGAGATCTCAAAGAGAAAGGAGATATCTTATTGTGTGGAGAATTTAATGGTAGAACTTCAACTGAGTCAGATTTCATTTGTGATGATGACCATCAATTTATCCCTGTAGATCTTAACTACAACACTGATAAAATCATATTACAAAGGAAGAGTAAAGATCAAAAGATTGATGGTCGAGGTCGAGATCTATTAGATTTTTGTATTGGGAATCAGTTTCGAATATTGAATGGCAGAGTCCTTGGAGATATGTCTGGTCAGTTCACATGTCATACTCCTAATGGTTCAAGTATTGTTGATTACGTCATTGTATCTGAAGACTTTTTTGAAAACATTCTGTATTTCAAAGTAGTAGACTTTATTCCAACATTCTCTGATACACACTGTAAACTTGAATGGTCCTTATCTGCTAAATTCAAATTAATACCTGAGAAAACTAAAAACAAATTTTTAAATACAAAACCATTATCCTCCAATTATATATGGGATGATAACTCGGAACATAACTTTTTAATTGCTCTCTCATCCAAAGATACTCAAAATAGGTTATCGGACTTTCATAAGAAATATGAAAGCATTGAGATTGCACGAGAAACTGTTGATGATGCATCATCTAATTATTTTATGATATTATAATTCAAGCAACTAACAACTCTCTACTTAAAAAAATAAGTCCCCAAAAATTATGATTTTTAACAGAGCTGGAAAAAAATATCGGAAAAGTTTTCTTTTCAAAATAAGTTGATTGAATGTGTTCAACAATACAAATATCTTGGTATTTATTTTTGTAACTTAGGTTCTTTTACCTTTGCTCAAAATGAATTATATAAGAAGGCCTTGAAAGCATGTTCAAAATTACAGAGAGAAATTATGTCCAATTGTCATATTGTCAATATTAACATTCATTTATTTGATCATACCATTTCTCCTATTCTTCTATATGGTTGTGAAATTTGGGGGGCTTTCAAACCCTTTGCTTCTAAATTTCAAAACAAAGATATCACAATGGACAAAATATTTAACAAATTAAAATGTGAAACAATGCACATAAAATATTGCAAGGCTATTCTTGGAGTGCATAGAAAGTCAACAAACTTTGCAGTTCTGTCTGAGCTAGGCAGATTTCCACTGTATCATTCAGTTATTAAAGCTATGCAAAGTTCCTGGTTTCGACTAGAAACATTACATCAATCTTTTGTCCTACTCAAAGAAGCATACTCCGTCTCAAAAAGCCTCTTTTTAGAAAATAAACCATCATGGTTTACATGCATTGAGACAATTTTCGGTCATTTAACTGCTTTCAAAAATATTGACTTATCAAAATATATAGTACTTGTTCATTTAAAAAGAAGTCATCATGTATTATAAGACAGTATTTTATAAACCAATGGTATAAAGAAAATAGGCAGCAAGATGGTAAACGAAGGACTTATTCCATCTTCAAAACCAATTTTGGAAGAGAACACGATCTCCACATTGTCAATAACTATCAGTGGCGGATTTAAGGGGGGGCGCACCCCCCCCCCCCCCTAAAATTGTCAAAATTAACGTAAATCACAGTTTCGTCTAGAAAATGTAAATATGTATACTTCGTAGACCTCATTTTTACCCTACAAATCTCTAGAATCCAGGAGCTTCCGGGGGCTTCGCCCCCTGGGCCCCCACCAGGGCTTTGCCCTGGACCCACTGCCCCCTTGCCTACTGTTAGCGCCCCCTCTAACTTCAGTTCCTGGATCCGCGCCTGACTATGATCAGAGGAAAAATATAACTAAACTTCTCATTTCTGCACATTAAATATTGAAAGGGGAAGATATTCAGGACTTCCCCCCTGAATCAAGAAAGTGTTCTCAATGTAATATACAGGAAGTTGAAGATGAATATTGAATAACATTTTTTACTCATTTGTCAAAAAAAAACAGCAATGAAAGGTTGCAATTAATGGAAAAAATATCAAAAATCAACCCAAACCTCTCTTCCTTGACACCTGATGAAAACCTTATATGGATATTGAATAATGAAAATAAAGAAATTTATTGGAAACTACTTACCAAGTATTGCCTACTTGGAAAATTTATTTCTGAAAATGGTAAAAGAACCAATGTACATTTATAAATACATAGATTCTGTCATCATGTTTATGCATGCTAAGCCATTTAAATTTATACATGTATAGCATCACATTTGTATTGTTTTATGATCATTGACATTCTTCTGGACACTTGTATTATGTATGATCATTGACACTAATAATAATATTATTATGTAACTTGGTCATTTGTATAACTGTCTAAAAAAACAAACTATATTGTTAAAAAAAAAAGAATGTTTAAATTGTACATTTATATATGTTGAAATGCCCCTCGGGGCCCTTGATTGGTAAATAAAATATCTTGTATCTTGTATCACTGGCGGTTTTAGTGAGTTACCACCCCCTCCCCTCCTCTTTTGTCCAAATTATGCGTAAGATTATTTATTGTGTGGCTGTGGGCCTCTACCCCGACCTCAAACTGCCCCCAATATTATTTTTCTAGATTCCTGGATCCGACACTACACACTGACTTTGTAAACATAAAAAAAAATTGGATATTATCTAAGAACTGGAAAAATTATATGTATGAAGGTGCGAGAAGAAACAAGAGATGTATAATGTGTCTGTGAATAAACCTTGTGTACGAGTTAAATTTCAATTTGAGTTGAGTTCAATATTAAATCAATTTCTGTTGAATGCTAAGTACGAATCAGTTTATGTACGACTTGTCAATTTCAAGCGCATGTGTTTGGATACACACACAGGGACTAAAAATTTCATCGCCATCACAGTCCAGTTTTCTTTGTTTAACTTTAGACCAGCAAGTGCCAAACACGTGTAAATTTATACTAAATAAGTTTTTCGAAGGTAAGGATTGTCTAGTTTTTTTTGGATGACAAAATGTTTTTTTTTTATAACAATATCGTCGTGATCGTGTATCCTAACTTCGTCCCTACCCTTACTCCCTCAGCGTTTTCAATAAGATTTTCAATAAGAAGGAAAAATAGATGGAATAGCAGGAAACCAGTCTTGGCGAGGGGTCTTGGGGCCGCCTTAGGCGAAAAAAGCCTTAAAAAAAACTTCAAATTTTTTTGTGCATCTGCCTGTAATTAAACTTGTGTATATTTATACATGTTAGTGTTTATTTACATCAGAGCGGGGGTATAGATGGTTTTCCTTTGACATATTTTGCGGCATTGCCTCGGAGTTGTTCCCTTTATCCGCCAGCTTGTAGGGCAAAGCAGTGAATTTTCCTCTTTGAGCAACCAATTTTAAACATGCATGCCAGAAATATATGGGGGAAAATATTTACAATCTCAAGATTATGAATTAATAGAGGCTTTAACAAACATATTTTCACGTCCAGTTCCAGAATAATATTTTCTTTCATGCAGAGAAGGAAAATTGCTATCATATTTCTATTATTTCAGCTATAGTCATAATATCTGCTATTTGTTTAAAATAATGGTTTCAGACCTATGTTTTTTCTTTTCTCATACATGTACCTGGTATAGACAGTTTAATTTTGTACTGAGATTTTAACAAAAGTTGTTATGGATCCGATATACTTATCATCGGCTTTCGATCGTATTCTAACTCATAAGTGTCAAAACTTTCTCCATTTCTCCAATGCCAATTTGTCACTTTCAATTAAGCTATGACTTTTTTAATTTAAGAAAATATTTATGGATTGACTTTTTTAAAGTTACTTGCCCAGTGCCCACGGGCAAGTGCCTATTAAAAATTCACTTGCCCACCTCTAAAATTAATTACTAGAACTCACAGGGCATTGGGCAATGGGATTTGTCAGAGCATGCTTTGAGGTAAACCTTAAAAAAGAGTTTTAGGCCAATTGTAACGGGAGAGGAGAAAATACAGCGGACCAGACCGGGATTCGAACCTGGGCCCCCTGAAACTCCGGTCAGGTGCTCTACCAACTGAGCTATCCGGCCACCGGCGATCGAACCCGGCTGACCACCACATTCCTCCCTCCTTAAAGGTCTTTGGCCCTCCAAAGACCCCAACCCAGGCTCATCCCTGGCAGGTCTTTCACCTGTCAATTCCAGGGCATGGCACGGCACCAAATGTAACAGGAGAGGAGAAAATACAGCGGACCAGACCGGGATTCGAACCCGGGCCCCCTGAAACTCCGGTCAGGTGCTCTACCAACTGAGCTATCCGGCCACCGGCGATCGAACCCGGCTGACCGCCACACAATCAATGAGCATCAAAATTCCTCATCATTTATGTAAAATTTGTTTAAATCATGACTCTCATGGTAGGCTGGTGCCCAGTGGGAAATCAAAGTTTTACATATTAATAATATATAATATAATTTTTATATATTTTCTCCAAGAACACAAAAGTATGGAATCCAGATAGGGACAAGCAGTTCACTATCGCACCATCGAGCATCAACTTAAAGGTCGATGGCGCGATAACGATGAAACGATGGTGCGATAACGATGATGCGATTGCGCGATGACGATGATGCTATGGTGCGATAATGCGATGACGATGGTGCGATAGCACGATTGAGCAATAGTAAATATCGCTTCATCGTCATCGTACTATCGCACCATCGTCATCGTGTCATCACTATCGCACCATTGCGTCATTGCACTATCGCACCATCGTCATTGCATTGTCACGCCATAGCATCATCGTCATCGCGCTATCGCACCATTGCTTCATCGTTATCGCCCCATCACTTCATCGTCATAGCATTATCGCTTAATCGCACTATCGACCTAAACCTCGATGGTGCGATGATGCGATAGTGAACTGCGTGGCCCTATCCGGATTCCATACAAAAGCCATGATCAGTCATATTTATGGAAAAAATTGTGTAAATTCAAGTTTATTCAAATCATAACCCCTTAGATGGGCCTCTTGTTGAAATTTCTTAATTTTGGTGAAGAATACCACCAAAGTTAGGGCTGGGACGATACTAAACTTAGACGATCTGATACATATCACGATACCTTAGGTACGATACAATACATATCACGATACATTTAAAACCAAATAAAACTAGATAATTTTTCAGAACATTTAATTTGAAACATAACAGTGTATGAAAATAAATTAATTCAACAAATGAACTTGACTTACTGCCATTGGGTTTTGTTAATTTAACATAATCCCGCATGTTTGACGCCATTTTGACGCTTATATTTTGAATTCTGTATCACCAAGATGTTTGTACTTTATTTCTGTTTGTGTAAACGTCTTGATGATGATGACTAAAGGACAAAAAATTTCAAATTCTAAAGCCTGGATATTTTTGGAAATTAAAAAGAAAAGTGCTGTAAGGTAACGTGACACTAAATTAGATGAATCGATCTGTAGATCATCAAAGTGAATACTGTAATGCATCGGTGAATCATCCCACTACTACATGTAGCTGTGTATAAAAAATTATCCTGCTTTAATTTTCTATACTGTAATACCTTATTTTCACAAAGATTTTAAATAAGACAATTACCAAAATGAAAAAAAGAAAGATTTGTATCTGTAATCATGATTATGACATTTAAGAAACAAACGCTTATCTGTATCCTTTGGAAATTAGACAGAAGGCATTCTCAAGTAGTATTAAAATTCAAGCCCCCCCCCCCCCTTCTGTAAACTTTTCAGTTATGATCTGATTTGTGCTTTTTCCTAGCCGATTTGCTCAGGTCAGCGATGTGGCCTCTGGGCCTCTTGTTATTAATTTTTTTTGAAATTATCAAACAAAATTGGAAGGAAGGGGGGGGGGTGCTGCAAATGGGCATTTGTCAATGTTTCACACAATCAGTTGAGAAATCTATGATGTAATATTTGTTATAATTAATGTCTACACTACAGGAGATGTATAAACATCAAATATTATAAGAAACGGAAAAATCACAGAATCTTTGAACAAGGTTGACATGATTTTCTTGCACTCTAAACTATTTAAGATAGTTGAACAATATTTGAAGGGTGTATCATGCTGGTAGGGCACTTAATTCATACTTGGTAGGAGAGATTCCAACTGAATTGTTATTGTGTTTTGTAGATAAAATATGTCCTTTAACTTATCGGAGCCCCTTGAGGCTGAGAGATCTCGGAAAAGAACAGCAAGTGATCTTGAAGAGGAAAAAGGTGCAAACTTGGTAAGAATAATATATATACATGATGTTGTAATTTTACCTAAGACAAAGGCTTAAGGTCAAGATCTTGAAAGGTGTGTACAGCTTTATTAGGTCACCTGGGTTAACTCAGGTGACCTATTGCTATCCGTCGTCTTGCGTCGTTCGTCGTGCATAAACATTTAAACATTTTCAGCTTCTTCTCTGAAACCACTGAACCAATTTCAACCAATTTTGGCATATAGCATCTATGGGTGGAAGGGAACAGAAATTGTGAGTTTCATGGTCCCTGCCCCCCTGGGGGGGTGGGGCAAAAACCATTAAAATTAGCAATCTTTAAAAATCTTCTTTATTACTCCTGGACATCAAGCAGTCAAACTGTTGGTACGATTGTAATGAGCATTGAGTCCTCTACCAAAATTGAGAAGTTCATTGCCCCAGGGTCAGGGGTTCTAGTGCTAGGGTGGGGCTAAATAGGTTATAAAGTGAAAGTGCATTTGATTTCTTTGAAATTTTTCTTTTCAGCTCCTTGGCATTAAATAAACTAACCAAGTGCATAGTTGAGTTGAAAATGACTGCCTTTCCTGAAATTGTGAATTTTATGGCCCCAGGATCAGGGGTTCTAGTGCTAGGTAGGGGCTATATGGATTATAAATTTGGTGAAAATGCATAAATTCTTTGAAATTCTTCTCTGTGCTTAGTTAGGTTGAATAAGGCTGCCTCTTCCAAAATTGTGAATCTGATGGCCCCAGGGTCAGGGTCTAGTGGCAGGATGGGGCTCTATTGATTTTATAGTGAAAGTGCATAAATTCTTTAAAAATCTTTTTTTCTGCACTTGGGTATTAAACCAATGTACTATGTACATAGTTATGAGGAGGAAGGATGCCTCTTTCTGATTTGTGAATTTCAGGGCCCCTGGGTCAGGGCTTATTGTGTAAGGGTTTATATGGCGAAAATGCATGAAGTCTTTGAAAATCTTTTCCTTTGCTCCTGGGTATTATGCCAATGATCTTATTACATATTTATGACAAAGAAAGCTTCTTCTTCTAAAATGGTTAATTTTCGGGTCCCTTGGAGGTACTTGGGTGGGGGGGGGGGGGGAGGGAGTACATAGTCTGAAAATAATTTAATGCTTTGAAATCTGCACTTTGGTATTTATCAACAACATGATGAAATAAAATTCATAAAATTTCCAAAATTTTGAAAGATGTGGCCCTGGAGTCATTGGTTCCTGTGGGATGGGGTGCACAACTGATAAAGTGGAAATGCATTTTCTCTTTGTTACTCTGATCTACGTTTGGATATTAAGTAACCAAAGTAAGAAGGCTAAGTGAATAGTAACAGCCTGTTATGAAAAGCAATGTTGCCTCTTTCAAAATGTAAATTTCATGGCCTCAAATCTATTCAATTATTCCCGAGTTACTACAAGTCCTATCAGATCAAAATTGCAGTAATGTTACATCATGGGATGTACACTACTAGATTATTAGTTTAATGTGGGACTTTACTTAAACACAAAATTCGTTGAGGTGAGCTCCTCTGTAATCTCTGATTACCTATGTTTGTACTCTGTGGATCCCAGAAATTTTGTATTATGCACAAGGGATCATTTAGGTACATTGATACTAGGGGTGGGACGATACACAGATCTTGCGATACGATACATATCTCGATATATTGGCACGATACGATACGTATCTCGATATTATAATAAATTATAAAACTATTTTTAAAAATTATTATCTTATTTCATTTCTTGTCTTGACATTAAATCTGCATGTTAAATTATAAAACTATTCAAAAGAATAAGTATTTTATTTCATTTTTTGCCTAAACATTGAATCAAAGTATTACGAGGGTTGTCCCAAGAAGTCGTAGACAGGTAAAACAGTTTTGTTTCTCTTTGCCTTACTAAATTTATTTCCTTGTCATAGCAAAGAGTAACATTTTATGATCATGCACTTCAAGTTTCATGATGATATTACATCTTATAAGAAAATTATGAAACAATAAACAAAGAATATAAGTACACCGGCGCACGAAAGCAAGCGTAAATTACATCGCTTATAACGTCATGATCTCTTTGTCTGCTTCACTAGCGGGTATTAACATTCAATAATTTTTTTAAAGTGATAGACCACTCTTGATTAACGGATATATTTAAATTCACTACTGTCTGTTTGTTTTTTTACTTGTTTTTTTAAAGCAGAATCAAATTTCAATCGGAATTTAGTCGAAAGATCGCCTTACATTGTAGGCAGCAGAGAATACAAATTGTTTGACGTCGTTGGTGGTCAGATTTTTCCAAATTGTCTGCCTTTAACAAACAGTACTCTACTTCTTACATGCCGTAATTAACTATTTTATGTACAGAAGAAAAACTCTCATTGAATATTGTGCAATTTAAAAATAACTTCCTTATTAAAATCTGGTGTGCAATGTCACTTCTGTACTCTTTTTTCTTGTCTCCGATGTATATTAACCATATCCAACACAATTTATTACATCCCCGTGCGCCGACTACGCGTTTGACGATGTCATTTTCATCAAACTCATTTTCAACGATACTATGAAAATCATGACACCAATCGTCTGTTTCTAATTATATTTATATGAAATTTTGACATCATATTCATATTTTTATTCTAGTTGCAGTGATTTGAATTTGAGTTCAACGTATTATATAGTACTAAAAAAATAGCAAATGTAATAGTTATATGCGTAAATTATTCCGAATTTTGTCCGTGCGCCGACAGGTCTTATCGGCCCTCATATAAATCGTCCTAATATTTTTAATATGAAAGATATGTATTTAAAAATTCACAATTTTAAAGAACATTGAATATGTTATGTCTTTGCAAAATTAGGTAAGTATTGGTTGCATGATTAAAAAAATATAAACATTGTCTAAGACTTTTTGGGACAACCCTCGTATTTATTAAATCATGTGTGCTTTGAATTTAATACTTGAAGTTTATCAATATCATTCACTAAAACTTTACAAAAACAACAATACATGTACATATTATTAAAACCAAATTACTTTTAAGAAGTGTATACGAATAATTGTGTAGTTCTTCAGAGAAAACTGACTACATCACATTTACATTATTATACCCCCCTCAAACGAAGTTTGGGGGGGTATATAGGAATCACCTTGTCCGTCTGTCTGTCTGTCCGTCTGTCTGTCTGTCCGTCTGTCTAGCTGTCCGTCTGTCTGTGCAATTGTGTCCGGTCCATATCTTTCTTACAGAGGGACATTAGAATCTACTACTCCACACTAAGATTGCCAATGACCCAAGGGTGTGTCATGTCCTTGACCCAAGGTCATTTGGGGAAGTTCAAGGTCACTGGAAGAAAAATTTCATAATTCGTGTCCGGTCCATATCTTTCTTATGGATAAACTTGGTAGGTTCTCATTTCACACAAAGATTGCCCATGACCCAAGAGTGTGTCATGACCTTGACCCAATGTCATTTGGGGAAGTTCAAGGTCACTGGGAGAAAAATTTCAAAATTCATGTTTGACATATATCTTTTATGGATAAACTTGGTAGGTTCTCATTTCATACAAAGATTGCCCATGACCCAAGGGTGTGTCATGACCTTGACCCAAGGTCATTTGGGGAAGTTCAAGGTCACTGGAAGAAAAATTTCATAATTCGTGTCCGGTCTATATCTTTCTTATGGATAAACTTGGTAGGTTTTCATTTCACATAAAGATTGCCCATGACCCAAGGGTGTGTCATGACCTTGACCCAAGGTCATTTGGAGAAGTTCAAGGTCACTGGTAGAAAAATTTAATAATTCGTGTCCGGTCCATATCTTTCTTAAGGATAAACTTGGTAGGTTCTCATTTCATACAAAGATTGCCCATGACCCAAGGGTGTGTCATGTCCTTGACCCAAGGTCATTTGGGGAAGTTCAAGGTCACTGGAAGAAAAATTTTATAATTCGTGTCCGGTCTATATCTTTCTTATGGATAAACTTGGTAGGTTTTCATTTCACATAAAGATTGCCCATGACCCAAGGGTGTGTCATGACCTTGACCCAAGATCATTTGGAGAAGTTCAAGGTCACTGGTAGAAAAATTTAATAATTCGTGTCCGGTCCATATCTTTCTTAAGGATAAATTTGGTAGGTTTTCATTTCACACAAAGATTGCCCATGACCTATGGGTGTGTCATGACCTTGACCCAAGGTCATGTGGGGAAGTTCAAGGTCACTGGAAGAAAAATTTCATAATTTGTGTCCGGTCCATATCTTTCTTATTGATAAACTTGGTAGGTTCTTATTTTACTCAAAGATTGCCTATGACCCAAGGGTGTGTCATGACCTTGACCAAAGGTCATATGGGGAAGTTCAAGGTCACTGGAAGAAGAATTTTATAATTCGTGTTTGATATATATCTTTATTATGCAAAAACTTACTTCTGAAAAACCCAGCGGGGGGTATTTTGTCCCAATTGGACAGTTCTAGTTATTAATTGCTGAAAGTCTGTGATAGCAAAGCTGAGATTAAAAAAAGAACCAAAATACGAGATGGATAACAATTAAAAATATCAACTGCTCTGGAAACGATGCTCTCTGTGTATAGCAAGCATTAGGCCTACATACGAAACTTTTCTTGTCCAGTCTTCCGAGGCAGCTTAAAAGTGAAAACATTTTACCCCTAAACAACGACTTATTTGTTCTAAAGTGTGTTTTCAATAATCAACATCATCTCTTCTCTTCGTACAAGCCGCCATTTTTCAAGGACGGGTACTTTCATTTTCAATTTTTGATAGGTCGTTCGTGTATCGTTTCGTACCGATATTTGAATGCTTGTATCGTAAACCGTATGTTAGAGGAAAATATCGGTATGTATCGGTATATCGGTATATCGTCCCACCCCTAATTGATACTCTGATAAGAGAGATAACTCTTAATGACACAAATGTCTATTATTCCTTTATAAATTTTTCAATTTTAAGTGCCTTTTTTGTCAAATTTTGCCCCACAAGTCATGCTATAATTGTTTGTATTTTATTCAGCATATACATTTCCTTTGGAAAAACATAAAAGTTAAAGACAAATTTCATATGAGTGAGCAGAGGGTTTATGAACCTTAAGGCCCTTGGGCCTCTTGTATTTATTAGGTCAATATATAGCAATATCACATGCACATTAAATCTCCTCCTCTTGATAACATTTAGAGCGATAAATCAAAACTTCCTATATTTTATCTTTGATATCTGGTAATGGTGTTACTATAATTTATATTGAAGCATATATATACTAAACTTCTCAGGTGATAAAATGAAAATTGTTGCAGTGGGCCAGATGTTTGGAAATTTGCATTCTTTTCTTTTTTTTAAGGAAGGTAAAACACCAAGCTCTAGTAAGGAAACCAGCTTGCCGCCTAGGAAAAAACATGCACCATCAAGTTTGTCAGAGTTAAGTACATGGAGTGAGTGTGATGATGAAACAGATTCAAGCTGTTTAAAGAGTCAACATGCAAGTTCAAAGGAAGGAAACTTCTCAGCAAGTCATTGGACCTATAAAGATCTTATGGACCTAAATATCTATTATGAGGATATGCCAGATCCCTTGGAAAAATTTATTAAAGATGTAAAGGATGCTTTTAGGAATGAAAAAGGTTTTTGTCCTGATCCCAGCAAAATTACCAGCTTTCTCAAAAAACAACTTGAAAAAAGTTTAACATTTACGCATGAAATGAGAAAAATTGAAAAAATGGTGAAAAGGCAGCATAAAGAGACACAGATAGAAAAAGTAAAAAAAGAGATTAAGAAAAACATGGAAATGACATGGGGAAAATGTGATGTCCCATTTGATTTCAAGTAAGTTATTTCATAGTTAGTTTTTCTAATCAAGGTTCCGCAAAGAATATATACTGTAAACCAAATTTTATTCGCGACATCTTTATTTTGCGATTTACCAGGGGTACACTAATTCACAACAATTAATTTTTGCGATCAGGCTTTTTTCGATCAACATGATCAAATGTCATTTTTAGCTCACCTCGACGTTACTGATGTTTTGTTGAGATGAGCCACATAATCTTAGATTACTGATGTTTTGTTGAGATGAGCTACATAATCTTTGATTACTGATGTTTTGTTGAGATGAGCTACATAATCTTTGATTACTGATGTTTTGTAAAAGCTTGGCCTGACAAGCTAGAAAAAAGTAATATTTCTGTTCTCTTTAAATTCCATAGATCCTTGGAACCTGCTACAGAGGACTTTGTAAAGGAGTCTGTTACGTTGTTGAATGTGGCAGTAAGGGACTTTGCAGAGGAAACTCTTGAACTGTTGGGAATGGGAATGTTTCAAAAACCAATGTATGCTTCACAGGAGAAGGAGAGATGGAAAAATAGAGGTGGAAGAGCCAGAGGTGGAGAAGGAGGGTCTCGTGGTGGACACGACAATGCAGAGTGTAGGCGCACCACTGATAATATTTGTCAGCACTATTGTAGATCATTTGGAAACATATTCTCTTTGAAAGAAGGGTTAGTATATGTTTAGTTCACAATGCCAAAAAATTATACAACCTATTCCATTTAATATATTGACATTTGAAAAAATTACTTATTTAAAGTTAAAGTAAATCTGTAGTCGTGCTTTTATCAATATCTTTGCAATGAAATATCACTTTAATTGAAAATGTTTACTTTGAGTTATCACTTACAATAATTGCAGAAAATGATGACATACTTCAAGAGAATATTGTTATCACAGCTCAAATTGCTTGTGGACACATACACATGATGCAATCAAACCTTATTTTCTGGAATAAGATGATACCAAGAAAGAACTTTGAATGTTTAACTGCAATTTTTTTTAAATAATGGTCTCATAAATCTAATACAGGTGACTCTCAATGGCTCAAACCCCGATCTCTTGAAGTTCTCGATCACTCGAAGTGAACTATAGCCACTTACTAAAGAGTTAGGGGTCTTCCATAATTTATATTTTATATTTTTGAAAATCACAATATTTAGATTTCTATTTTATGCTACAGTTTTTTATTTTATACATTGTAGCAGCTCAAGTGAGCTTTTCTGATCACATTTTGTCCTGCGTCCATCTGTTTGTCCATCTGTCTGTCTGTAAACCTTTCACATTTTCACTTCTTCTGAAGAACCGCTGGGCCAACAGTGCTCCAAGTTGCGACTAAAATGGTCGCATTTGCGACCAAAAAATTGATTTTGCGACCAGAAATGAAAACACACTCGCATTTTCGCGACTGAGAAAATTTGGGCTGGAAACGTCCATTTTTAATATTGGGATCGAGATTTCATTTGTAAAGATTCTCTATCAAGAAAATGTTTGCAGACATATACTTAAATACACTTTACAAAGCGTTGCATGGACTAAGATCACGTAATGTTATGACAGCATGGCATGCTGTACAAAGTTTGATAGAACCTGAACCAGAGACGTGGACAAATAATGTTCCTGATAGAATGGCACCCAAACTTCGTACACTTTTTAAGATCCGACCTTGTTATTGAAGCATTTGACCAATTGCTTGCATATCACAATGAATCATGATTGTATTATCATGCTAATAAAGAGTGTTATGGAGGCATTTATAATGACTGTGTAATGGGTTAGGTACGTAGTAGTAAGTTAACCTGACAAACAGCAGGCAAAGTCCTGTCTCAACAGCTGTCAAGCTTGTATTTTCATTTGATAAAATTTTATTTCTGTAATCAGATTACTTGTGTTCTTCTGTACAACCATAAGGGTACATGTATTCAATAAAAAAATTTCATTCAACTTAGCAAATTTTTATAGTCAAAGTAATAAGTAATCTATGATATAATGAAGACATAATACATATCCTTATTTAAATTATCATGTTTTTTTCACAAAATGTATTTTTTTTTATTGTAAGTGAAATATTTGATTATGGCGACCAGAAATTCTGAAATGGCGACCAAAAAAATTTTTAGGTCGCCATTTTGCGACCTGAGAGCAAGTGTGACTTGGAGCACTGGCCAATTTCAACCAAACTTGCCACAAAGCATCCTTGGGTCAAGGGGATTCAAGTTTCTTCAAATGAAGGGCCACACCCTCATTCAAGGGGAGATAATTTGGAATTAATGAAAGTTTAGTGGTATGTTTTAAAAAATCTTCTCAAAAACCAGTGTGCCAGGAAAGATGAAACTTATGGGGAAACATCCACAGGTAGTGTAGATTCAAGTTTGTTCAAATCATGACCCCCTCGGGTTGCCATGGCGTTACAATGGCGAAATAAATATTTACATAGAAATATATAGGATAATTCTTTTAAAATCTCCTTCTCAAGAATAACAAAGCATAATTGATCATATTTATATGGAAGCATGGTCAGGTTGTTTAGATTCAAGTCTGATCAAATCATAACCCCTGGGGGTAGGGCTTGGCCACAATGGCAGACCCAATCATTTGAAAGTTGTTGCATGATGCTCAGGTGACCTATTAGGCCCGTTGGCCTCTTATTGAAACAGGTTGTAGGTCTCATTTCCAATGTACTATAAGACCTATGTTGACCAAAATTGCATGGAGGATACATCTAAGGATGCACATTATCAGACTTGCTTCAGATGCTGAATCTGACCTACATTTTCTGGTTGAGTGAATAGGTGAATGTTTTTGGTGCAGATCTCATTTGTAAGTAACTATAAGCCCTATGTTGACCAAACTTGCATAGATGATACATCAATGATTCTACTACTAAAACATTTCTTTATACTTCCCCTTCTTGTGTAGTTTGTTATGTTTTTGACACTATTTTTTTTCTTTTAGTTTTTTACTGGAGAGGTCCTTCACTTTTAACAAGAAAACAGTGAGGAGTACAGCTGATCTCGTCTATGATTTCCATTCCGGAAAGAGTATGGAAGAACTCTTGTTTATAATAGAGGTAATTTTGTTAATATTATCATTTTTAGCTCACCTCAACAAAGTTGGGGGAGCTTATGTAATACCCTCGCCTTTGGTTTCGGCATTGGTGTCAGCGTCCCAGGTTAAGGTTAAGTTTTTATGGAGCAGTTTTCTTTTTAAGTCCAATATTGATTAGACATGCATGAAAGATGGTTCTAGTGTGTTTCATTGTACCAGTCAAAGTTTCAGATGCTGCAATTTCAGCAAAGGAATGACCAGGTTAATGTTTTTGGAGCAGGTTAACATTTTTGGTGCAGTTTTTGGTGTAGGTCTGATTTCCAAGTAACTATATAGTATTTATGTATATAGTATTTATGTAATGCTTCTTACACTTGAAAAAATACATTGTATGATATGTAGGCTAATTATGTAGAATAGAAATTTCAGTAGAAAAAAACCTCTAAGATGAATTCTATCATGAAAAGCTAATAAAGAAGGGGAGCTAAAACATGCTTATTATACCCCCATGTGCAGATCTGGGGGGGGGGGGGAGGTACCTGTGTTAGCCAAATGTAACTAACAATTATTGATAATTAAATGAAGAAAACGATTTTGAAGGCATAAATGCCGATTTTATTTCTTCACTGAAAACATTAATGTGTAAAGAAATCAAACAATTTATGCTTCATATATATCTAAAACTTGTATGTATGATTATTGCGATTGCATGTATTTTTGATAATAACTTTGCATTACTAAAGGCATT